GATGGATGTCCAGAGAAACCAGCAGTGAGCTGGAGTTGCCAGGTACCCACTCAAACTTTCATGTTAGGAATTCTTGGTGTTTCATTTCTACCGCTGTGCCAGCTTGCATGTTAATGAGGCTAAGTTTAAGTAATAATGAGGGTGGCAATGAGTGATAATCTCTGAGAAGAGAATTCTTGCCAGTTACTAGAATCTTGACTCAACGTCCAGGACTTGTTTGGAAAATACGATGTTTTGGTTTCTATGTTGTTCCAAGACCTAGAATTATTCCACCAATTTTTTTTTAGAAACAATCTACATCTTTTAAAGCTTTTAACATTGATCTATATTATAGCTTCCATCCTAACTCAACCAGTATCATTTATTTTGACACTTGAAAATTGCAAATATAATTGAAGAAATATTAAGTGCTTTTAACTCACTGCTTTGGAGTGAGTGAGAATACTTTTCAGTGATTGAGAGCTTTACTCTGCTTGCTGATATCACCACTTCTGCAGGTCAAGACATCCCCTTGGCATGGTGCTAGGTTTAACTTGCTACCAGAAAAAGAAAACCACACCAAAGAGATCACTAGATCATTACAGGGGCAGTTTTCTTCACAAGCAGCAGTGAGTGCTGTTGCTTTTCCACTGACTGCAAAATGTACTTGGAGATTTTATCTACTTGCTTACCTGAGATTTTCTTAGCTACTAGGGTCAGCAAATCTGTCAAATTTACTTTGGCATTGCTTCTAACTGCATAAATTCCACACATGAAGAATTTGTGATACTTGTGCTGGAACAATCTAAAAATCGGAAGAGATTTCAGGTGGGTATAGATAGGATATTCCTTTCTTATGCTATGTAACAGTGCCCTCAGGTGGCTATCATCAGTTCTTATTAAATCTGAGACATCCAGAATCAAAATTATTGATGAGATCCTAACCTTCATTCACCTTAAGAACGGAAGAAAGACTTGTCATTTTTCATGCAACTATTATTAAATAACCTTGGAGAAAATCCAAGTTTTTATACATAGCAATACAAAACAGATTTTTCTTTCAGATCTCTTGTGTACCCTTGATTCATTTTTACATTTTACAAAACAGACTTCTATTTTAGCAACCTCAGATCAACTCAAACAATCAACTGACTTTTCTGCCATTTAACTTGCCTATGGTAGATACTTGCCTTCTAAAATCATCAATTAATTAACTTTTCTCCAATTTAAGGGCAATTCTATTCTATTGTATTCTAATTAGGAATGGACATCAAATGCTGGTCTTCTCTGTGACACTGACATGCCATTAAAGAAAAAAATAAACACTTCCTTCCCAAGTGCCTAGGTGTTTATAAATATTTCAATTGATATAAGTCCATTGTGTTTTGGAACAGCGCATTTCACTTCTTTCTAACACTGTATGAATAAATTTTTATACAGATGTCTTTTGATCAGCTCATTGTGAACTGTAAGATTGTGTTTTTGGAATTTCAGCATATTTCTGAATTGGACTATTGTGACCAGAAAAGAGAGGTCAGTATTCAAAGTCCAGAAAAGGGAGAATCTGGTTATGTTTCATAAAGCAAGCCTGACTGAGGCAACATTTGAGTAACTTTTCTAAGAAGTATAATAAGCAGACATTCCTGACCGTAGGGAAAAGCTACTCCAATACAATGCATGTAAAATACCAAACACTTTGGATGGCAAAGAAGAGACTTCTGAATACTGATAATAGTCTTGGCAGTAAATATGTGGACCAGGATTTCAATGACAACTTGAATTAATCTGATTTTTTAACTGTATCGTTCATTTAACGTGTCAACATTACTATCGTTTGTTCACATCTTCTGTTGTTTGTACAGTGCTTCAGTGTAATTTGTTAACTCCCCATTCCTATACTGCTTGAACGTGGTTAACATTTTTAGACCCAACTATATACATTTGGACAATTTTTTGAGGAAAAGTAATCTGCAATCTGTTGAATTATTTGTCATTTGTGGGTGCTTCAAATGTTTAACAGAAAGAGTGAACACTCTAGTCAGGGTCATCCTCATCTCCATGCAAGCTTTGAAGCTTTCATCCTGAAATGACATGACCCAACATTTAAGAAGAGATTGTAATAACCTGATTTAGAAGTCTCGAACGAAATAGAAGCTGTTACAAAATCACTCAATTTTGCACCAAGAAAATGTTGTGAAACATAGGAAGCTAGGGAGAAGCCTTTTTACTGATATCAGGATGGGGTGTTAAGGGCCTTCTTTCAGCTGAAGAAGCTGCTGGTTCCGGGTGGGTGTTGGTGGAAAATGGGGAAACCGTAAGGAGTTTGACAGAGGATGCGGATGTAAAGGTGAAAAAACAGTTTCAATTTCAACAACTGAACATTCAGGTAAATAGAAAATCCTGAACCATTAAGGTACTGATTTATTTGGAACGAATTTGATGCTTCTAGCCTAAGACTGAATATGTTCAAGAGTTGTAATGGGGGGAAATGCAATGGATGCTAAAGTAATAAAGTCTGTGTCAATTGTTAAATTTAAATCTGAAACTGGAATCTGAGTTGCAACAAAGAAAAGTATTAACTGCCTGGTTAAAATATTCTAGCTTTGTGCACGTACAATGGAGACACATCATCAATGATTTCACCAATCTGTGGAGGACGTTTTCAGAGTGATGGCTTCTTGTGTGCAGAAGCATGTCAATTTTATTTTATTGTCTATTGCTAATGTATGTCTGTTGTCTTGTGCCAATTTAAATATGGTTGTCTCTAGGAAATTAATGCTTTTCTTGTGTATTGTTGCTTTCAGTCTGATGGAAGTTAATTTTATTTGAAGATCGAGTGAAATTTTCAAATTCCGCTTCTGTTTTGAAATGTCCGACCGATCAAACACATTCAGAAGGTAATATTAATACATGACTGTATTAGCCAATCAAAAAGTTAGTAAGAATGAAAAAATGCCCTTGAAAAGTATAACGTAGCCCTCCAGAGCATCACTGCTGAATGTCAAAGTGAGCTGCTTTGAAGAATTGATTAGTGCTGTGTTACTTTGTCCCAGTTATAATGAGAAAGAAAATCCCGTAGACGTAAGTCCTCACACTTCCTCCCGCTTTGCACACTCCCCATGCCAAAATTCACACCACCTCAAGTCACTTTGTTACCACCCTCATGCCAAGCTATGTTTCTCTATGCATCCTTATGGCTTCTCATGCCCTCCATGCCAAGCTATGGCACTACCATACTCAGTCACCCATTATGCATATATAGAAGCAATGAGCCCTATAGTGAAAATATCATAGTGCAATAAAACACTTTTAAAAGAAGCAATTCATTCATAACATCCACCATGTTAAAACAAAATCAATTCACTGCCGTCCCAATAAAAGTATCAATCATCCAGACATTTAGAGTTCAATACCTGAAACCTCAAGTGCCTTGAAACCACTTAACATCATGTAAATAAACATTTTGAAATTGAGAGCAGCCATCAGATAGCCACAGCTGTCCATCAAACAGGAGCTCAGATGTTTTAGCTTCTGATGGATAGCTGGGCTTTCACCCAAGAATGCATAACGAAGCTTAGCTAGGAGCCTGGCCATCCATTAGCCTGTTAAAACATCTGAACCCATAGAAAAAACTTCTTGATGGACAACTGATGCTCCCTGATCTTTTTTTTGTCAATTACACAAAATTTATTTATACAACATAGTGGCTTCAAGGGCTTGCAGCTTTGTTCTGAATGATTGACACTTTTACTACCTTGCAGCGAAAGGAATTTTCTTTTAAACCATGGGTAGGTAAGGAATGACATTTTAAAACCTTACTGTTAATACACTCTATTATCAGTCTTGAGTTAATTGTTTTTATGCAGTGTGTAGTGGGTGAATGGGCATGCTAGTGTCATAGCTGAGTGTGGGGAGTATGCACGGCCTGGGGCTTGGGTAGTGGGTCATAGTCTGGCATGGGGCTGGGGTCCATGAGGAGGACATTTTGAACTTATTGTTGACAGGTTTCCTTGGGAGGACTACAGTTCATTACGTCTCAGAGTTGCCATGGAGCACAATGTTTTGAAGACCTGGCCTAACTACATGACAATTGCAGAGGACTAGGACACACATATCCTCTCAACAAATACAGGCAGATCGGGAGTGAATGATGTGAGTTCACAACTTAAACCAGCTCTCGTCCTTAACCAACTTCACTTGCCATTTTTAAAGGGCTCCCAAGTCATTCCAACTCAATGAAAATCCAAATGCCTACTGCCCACACTGTGGATTCAGATAGTGTACAGACCAAGCATATGTGGTTGGTCACAAGACCATCTGCATCCAGAAATAAAATATTTCTCTGCTGCACCCTGAAATCTCTTCGGCTGCATTTTCCAATCGCATGGAGGTCATTGCATTCATATTCCTCTTAGGATACATCCATGTTTGGTTTTCATCTCTGTGAAATGGTTTATGTTCTGTAGCAAGGTTAAAGTTGCAGAATAAGTCTGCAGTTACTGACTGACCTGATCCTGAACAGAAGTGATCGAAGTCCTGAAAGCAGGTAATCTCACACTAATTGAGCGTGACACCATTTTCAGTGCAATTCCAGTGTAATATATCCCAGAAGAGTTCCTCTGACCTTGTGCGCTTTCTTATGCATCGATTCCAAGTACTTATATTGTAACCATGGGGGAAGAACTGTAAAGAACATTGGGTAGATCTGACCTGATCGGGAGAATTTCTGTTGGTATCAGGCAAAATAAAGAGATACTGCCTGATGTGGGGCCAGTACTGCGATTAGCAATCTCAGACAAGTTGCTTCAATAGAAACATACTCTTTGCTTGCATGCAGCCGGTAACCCTCAAGCTTGGCTTTTACATATATTTACCAACAAAATCTTGTGTAAACCACCACACTCAGTCATCCCACTAGGGATCACTTTGTCTATCCTGAACAGTAATGGAAAAGGCAGAAATACAGACAGATTGAGAAAAAATAAATGTACAGTGGAGCTGAGGTAATCTTTATTTCTTACCTCTGGCAGTTATTGCAGAGAAACACGAGCAGCACCAGTAGCAGAAAGGCTCCCCCAGCCACTAAAAAACCACAGACCAGGATTTGAGGCTGGCTTTCCTGTGCAAATCCAGTCTCCTTTTTAAACACATGCAGAGGAGAAGGTGCCATGATCTTCCTTTAGTTGTGCTCTGTTAACTGTGAAACAATAAACCAATATGTCATGAGTCTGCCAAGTAGCCACATTTTACAATTACTGCAGGGATATCAGCATTTGACCTATATGCTTTATTTCTATTTTGAGTCACAAATTAAACACTAGCTGAAATGTCAGACAGTGTCATATCAAAGCTACAGATCTATTAATGATTTCACTGCAACATCTTAATTGTTTTGTTAGCTGTGGCTTTATGGGAAGCATTCATGCTTATGAGTCATAAAGTTTTGTGTTCAGGTCCTGTTCCAGGGCTGCACTGAGCATAGAAGTCAAGGCTGGTACTCCAGTGAAGAACTGAGGAAGTCCTGCAGGGTTGGAGACACTGTCTTTCAGATGAGGTGCTAAACCAAAGCCCCATCTGCCTGTTTGGGTGAAGCTAAAGATTCTGAAGAAGAGCAAGGCAGTTGCTCTTGGTGTCCTGATCAATATTTATCCTTCAATCATGACATGAAAACAGATGACCCGATCTTTATCGCATTGCTGTTGGTGGAAGTTTGCTGTGTCCAAATTGGCTGCTGCATTTCCCACATGACAACAGAGGCTAAACTTCAAAGGTATGTCATTGGCTGTAAAGCTTTTGAGATGTCCAGTCATCATAAAAAGCTCTATATAAATGCATGTCTTTATTTTATTTGCAGTGTTTAATCAAATTCAAAAGTTGCATTTAGGTAATTAATCCATTGAATTATTCTGACATCTTTTTTAACTCTGCTTTGTAGTGCCCTTAACCTGATGGAAATCAGGCAGGACAGAACCATTAAAATGAAAGGTGAATTTACCCAGTCCTTTTGCTGCCTAATCTAGGAAGCTGCCATTTTAAATTGCATGCATAAGCATTTCCACTTCAAACAGATGAAATCTTCTTTGAAGATGCAGATTGAGCTCCAATGATGTTAATAGAACCTAGTCATCCATTCTAACTATAGACCTGAATGGCTAAACTCAGGTGTCCTTTTCTGCCAAGTACAACCAATAAAGGCCAGAAGACATCCAGTGCATTTACTTTATATTTTAGTTTATTTTTCTGGGCCGGGTTCAAGCATTTCTTTGGTCCCTCCTCATATTGGATTCATCTCGTAAAAGGTACTGTTAGCCATTGTTTAGCATGGCAACCACCTACTACTTTATGTTAATTTCTAGGCTGCTGCTTTTTGCCAACTTCTTGACTGATGTTAATGAAGCTCACAGATAATTGGCTAAGCCTCCTGGTACCCACGGGTAATCACTTTGCCATTTTTCACCAAATAGTTAAAACTAGGGGTCAGATTTCCAGCAATCTTGCTTGCTTTTTGGTACCTCTTGATCCCCATGTATAGGAAAGGCTCATCTGGCCTTTTATCGTAACTATCCAAACTGTTTCAAATTACGTCACATATAGTCAATTTAGAAATATTGTTGCAGCCATATCGCCAATAGTTACTATTAAATTTTACGGCTGAGAGTTAAAAAGTTCAGCATGTGAAACAATTTGCAAATTTCTGAAGTTAATTATACTAAAGTGTTGTGATAAAGTTGAGGCAAAAGTAACTTGAATACACAGCAAGTGCTAACAAAAACACAATGTTCAGTCTCTTGCATTTATGGGCTATGCAGGTACACAACATGGATGCTGTCATTGTTACACACGCGGTTTTTAAATCTACACGTCTATTAATTTGTACACCCATGCCAACAAATCCTAGCGAATGGACTTAGGATTTATCTAACCCATGATACGATTGCTAAGAATATATCTTTCCAAACTCTAAGTACATATTTTAAATTAGGTCAAGCAGGCATGTAACAAATAAATAAGATCGAATTGCACTTCAGTAGCCAGCTTGCTACCATTCAGGGGCACCATATGGACACTCCTCATTCATCACATTATCAAAGTTAATGACCAGTCGTCTTTGTGTATGTTCCATGCCATCTCTTGTCAATCACTTTCAAAATCATAGGAAATTAATCTCATCTCAGACAAGATTAGACGGGATTTTGTTGTCTAAATAAATGTTCACTGAAGTGAATCCTGTGAAGACGGCTTAAATGTGTATTATTAAAAGCTTACTAAATTTCTGACGCAAGGATCAGAATTCATTCCAAAACAACAGATATGTGGTGATTACAAGATGACAAATCTGCTACATTGTGCTATCATTATATCAAAATAGCACCAAAGAAAATTAAGTGGTTTTCCCAGAAATCAAGCAAATCCTAAAGTTAGTACACTTTATTCTACTTGGTCTAGAGTTCATTAGTACTTTTGTGAATTTGTCCAGAAAACTATGGAGTCTGTGTGCTAAAATAAACCATTAGGCATTGTAATCCTTGGCCATAAGCCAACACTAAGCTGTCTAGCTATATAAAGGTCAGCAGTCTGATGAAGCAGAACAAAACAGCAGTAGGGAATTGCATTGACGTAAGGAAACTAACTTGAACTGATTGAATGCTGGGGTTCAGAATCGATGAGTTACCTTGACATCTCTGAAGACAATCATTGCCCTTTTGGAACTCTACACATTACAGTACTGAAATTGACCATCCAGCTCATTGTGCCATTACCAGTGTCAGCTCTTCAACTTAAAACTGTCTATTCTCAACATATTCCATGCCCTTGATTTTATATTGTTCAGCATTTTTACTTTACAATAACTTACTCAAACCCTGAGCAATGGGCTTCAATATCCTCTCATGCTTTAAAAAAAAAACTTGATGTTCTAACATGCTTGGAAACATTTTCCTAATCTTCCTATTTTACTCTCCAAGTGATGCTCCCAAGTCTATAGCTAAAGATCATTCTGGAAACCAAAACAAAATATGTTAAAAAGAAATAACATTGCACAGGATTTCACAATTAAGTAAATAATTCACTGGGAAAAGGTAACCAAATCCAAATTATTATTTTAAAGAAGAGATGTGAATCATTCCTAATGCCTTGGTTAATATTTACCCCTCAGTCAACATTATATAAACAAAAACAAAAACAAAAACAGAAGTTGTTGGAAAAGCTCAGCAGGTCTGGCAGCATCTGTGGAGGGAAATCAGAGTTAACGTTTCGAGCTGAGTGACCCTTCCTCAAATTTTACTCAAACTGGTTTCCACATTTCCTCCATTACAACAGTGATTCTGGTAGACTGGTTAGCAAGGTTAGATCACATGGAATACAGGGAGAACTAGCCATTTGGATACAGAACTGGCTTGAAGGTAGGAGACACAGGGTGGTGGTGGAGAGTTGTTTTCAGACTGGAGGCCTGTGACAAATGCTGTGCCACAAGGATCACTGCTGGGTCCACTGTGTTTCATCTTTTAAATAAATGATTTGGATGTGAACATGGGAGATATGGTTAGTAAGTTTGCAGATGATACCAAAATTGGAGGTGGAGTGTACAGCGAAGAACGTTACCTCAGAGTACAATAGGATCTTGATCAGATGGGCCAATGGGCCGAGGAGTGGCAGATGGAGTTTAATTTAGGTAAATGTGAGGGCTGCATTTTGGGAAGGCAAATCAGGGCATGACTTATACACTTAATGGTAAGGTCCTGAGGACTGTTGCTGAACAAATAGACCTTGGACTGTAGGTTCATACATAATTCCTTGAAAGTGCAGTCGCAGGTAGACAGGCTAGTGAAGAAGGTGTTTTGTTTGCTTGCCTTTATTGGTCAATGCGATGGATGTAGGAGTTGGAAGGTCATGCTGCAGCTGTACAGGACATTAATTGGGCCACTTTTGGAATACTGCATTCAGTTCTGGTCATCCTGCTATAGGACTGATGTTGTGAAACTTGAAAGGGTTCAAAAATGATTTATAAGGATATTGCCAGGGTTGGAGGATTTGAACCAAAGGGAGAGGCTGAATAGGGTGGGATTATTTTCTCTGAAGCGTTGGAGGCTGAGGGGTGACCTTACAGAGGTTTTTAAAATCATGAGAAGCATGGATAGGGCGAATAGCCAAGGTCTTTTCCCTGGAGTGGGCGAGTCCAAAGCTAGAGGGCATAGGTTTGAGATGAGAAGGCAAAGATTTAAAAGGGAGATAAGGGCAACTTTTTCACAGAGGGTGGTGCATGTATGGAATGAGCTGCCAGAGGTAGTGGTGGATGCTGGTACAATTAGAGCATTTAAAAGGCATCTGGATAGGTATATGAATAGGAAGGGTTTAGAGGGATATGGGCCAAATGCTGGCAAATGGGACTAGATTTATCTAGGATATCTGGTCGGCATAGACAAATTGGGCCAATGGGTCTGTTTCCATGCTGTACAGCTCTATGACCGTATGATTCCAACTCAACAGTGTTTCATCGGGTGTCGACGACTTTGACACGTCCTGCGGTCATGAACAATGCAATATAAATGTAAGTCATTCAATTTTCAAGAGTTGTGCCAGGATTTTGCCAGCGTAATGCTTAAAATAAATGATAACACTCTAGCTTATTGTGTGACTCCTGAAGATTTTTTGTGTATGCAACGTTTCTCATGTTGGAACACGTAATTGACTTGGCAAGAAAAACCTGACAATGCTGGGAAAAAAAACATATTGCATTAGAAGTGTCCCAGTGGCATGTCTACATCCGAGGTATTCACCTGGTTGTTCTTTTCTCAAATAATGATAGACTAGTTGTGTATGTTTTTCCATCTCAATTTTACGCTCAGAACTTTGTACAACATAACGACGCATCAGGAATGTAAGTGATGTGATCCATGAGCTGATTCGCAGCTTGCATGTTAAAATTAATGGATGAAAATTGTACCAATTGCAATTCTTCCGGTCCTAATTCAATCAAAGTACCAAAGAACATTATGTTTTACCCGACACTCGTGTGTTTGATATGTGAAGAAATACTGACACCTGTGGTCTGAAAGAAGAACAGCACCTTTTAGATTTTATTCTCAACTTGGGAGTCTTTTCAAATACGTGGAACTGACTTTTGAAGCAATGGAATTGAAAATCAAGCACAGAACAGTTTTGAATGAATTCCTGCAGTCTCACAATTTCAACAGAGAG